ATATTGATGAACTGCAGCATGAGCTGTGTGGTCACCATTGCACCATAACCGGTGCTTTTTCATATTGTACAGTAATCAAGCTCAGCTAAAAGAGTATGTTAGTGACAGTGGCCACAGAGGCAGGCACTGCCCATTTTGTATGTATTTAGATCGAGGACGCACAAGATCATAAAAAGGTCAACAAGAAGTCATCCCATATGGAAGATCAGAGGGATTCAGAACAATTTGCTAGTGGGGGAAAAAGTTTGTATAGAAAATTATGAGTTGTCTCTATCTTCTGAGCATCTATTCTGAATAAGGTGGTACATGAGTCTAAGCCTAGTGTATAGTACTTGCCTTTTAAGAAAGTGAGAGCAGTCATATGTAGGTATACACATACATGGAATAGTTATAATCAAATTTCAATGACAAATGCCTTGTGGTGGTAGGAATTCAAGGATTCGGGTGAAGGAGAAAAGACATGCACCAGAAGGAAGCAGAAAAGGGATAGTATCGAAAGGGACAGTGTTTGGTCTGTGGAAAGATCTGGAATTTTGAGAGACTAAGAAAAAGTCAGAAGTAAAAGATCAACTTTTAATTTTAAAGCATTGTTATGCTAAGTATATTCTTTTTTATTGTGAAAATACTGTACAGAGGGGTTACAATTACATGAGCAAGATAATGAGTACATTTCTTATCAAGCATTGTAGCCTCCTCCTTTGTTTCCCCTTCCCATCCCATCCTCTCCCCGCTCCCCCACCCAACCCTACTCCCCCCCCCAAAAAAAAGTTGTAAAGTTCGTTTTCGACATACAATTTGTACGTCTCATTGTTGCAATGGGTCCACATTCTAAAGATATTGTTACATAATGCAGGATGTGACCCATTCTTTATTAATATAAATGCTCAATCCCAATAACCACTCAAAAACTTTTTAAATAAACAGGTGCTTTGCTTAGCTATAATTGTATGCTACACAATACACTGTCATATAACAGCTTAAAATCGAAAAATGCAATGAAACTGTTTTATTAAATATTTAACCAGTAAACATACAGAAAGACAGACAATTTGGCATTAGGTAGAATCTGTCTAGAATTCTGTAGCCGTGCAACACGGGTCATGCCATGGTATCATAATAAAATGAAATCTTACCAGAACTAGGGAGGGTATGATATGGGAATATCATTTTTGGTATTTAGAAGGCTATCATTTAGAAATAAAAGTGTATTTGTTCTGTATCTTTCAGAAAAGCAGAACTAGGATTAGTGGATGATAAATGCAGATTTAAACTGAGCCTGAGATTGTCCCAAAACTTAGTATTGGCTGTCCATAGAATTGGTGGCCCTGTTAAAACAGGTGGTTTTCCCTTTATTGATAATGTTCACAGAATCTAACCCTAAAGACTGAGTTTTCAAGCCCAGTTAGGGTTCCCTATAATTCTTTATAACTATATATCTAACCTACAGTTCTTGTACAATGAAGACTGAGCACACAGGTTTGTTTGTATAACTCATGGATGATACATTCATTTTGAGAAGTCATAGATAGAGTCTGCAGCATATTACTTTATGGAGATTTAATCCAAGCACTTTAAAGTCAAGAAAGCAATGTTATTTAAGGTATTTTGAGTTCTACTGGAACTACTTGTCTTTTTCTAAAAAGACAAATTCAGTTCAAATATTTAGAGATTATTAAATTATCTCAAACTATTTTAGCTATGCTGCTTTTTTTTTTCCATGTGATCAGGTAACAAGTAAGCCTAGAATGTCCTTGGCTATACAAGGTGATCCCGTGCCTCAAACAGTTGATTAACTATATTATGTAAAAATTTGCCAAGTTATTGATACCATTTTACATTTACTCTTCATACATTATAACACCTTCCATTGTTGAAGTCCATTGATGTATAAGAATTCAGGATTAGGGGCTGGGAAGGTGGCTCAGTGGTAGAGCACTTGCTTTGCATGCATGAGGCCCTGGGTTCGATTCCTCAGCACCACATAAGCAAAAAGAAAAAAGCTGGAAGTGGCACTGTGGCTCAAGTGGTAGAGC